TCTCTCTCTCTCTCTCTCTCTCTCTCTCTCTCTCTCTCTCTCTCTCTGTCTCTCTGTTTCTCTCTCTCTCTGTCTCTGTTTCTCTCTCTCTGTCTCTGTCTCTCTGTCTCTCTCTCTTCCCTCTCTCTCCTCCCTCCCTTTCTCTCTCCCTCTCTACCCCTCCCTTTCATTTTCCCCCTCCTCTTTCTCCCTTTCTCTCAATCTCTCTCTCTTCTCTGTTTCTTTCCATGTCTCCTATCCTATCTCATGCTCTCTCACCCTTCTTTCTCTCTCCCCCCTCTTCTTTTCTTTCCCCCTCTCTTTCTCCATCTCTCAGTGCCTCTCTCTGTCTGTCTCTGCCTTTGTCTCTCCCCTGTCTCCCTTTCTCCTTTTTTCTCTTGCCCTTCTTTTCTCTCTTTCTCCCTTTCTCTCTTCCCCTCCCTTTCTCTCTCTTTTCCCCTTCCTTTTTCTCTCTCCCTCCCTCCTTTTCTCCCTCTCTCTCCTCAAATTATGTTGTATTTATCTATCTGTTTACAAGTTGTATTACCTTTGTAGAAAATAAACTTCCTGAAGGCAGGGACTGTCCTGTCTATGTCTCCCTAGAATCTTGATGTGCCTGGCACTTAGTAGGTACTTAATCAATACTAATTGAGCTAGGTTGAATTTATGATTCTTTAAGAAAGCTTCCAAAGTGAGGCCCACCCTTTGCCTCTTTCTGAAGTTTCCAAGTATCACTTGCTCTGACTACACGCTCCACTGAATTTTAAACTTGTCTGAGTTGGGTAAATAGGAGAAGCATTCACCTCACATAATCTGAAGTCTCTTTCAGGCCACAGCATTTCATGGTAGCATCTACTGATAAAGACTAGTATAAATAGTTCCCAGAAAAGTGACAAAGGAAAAAGAGAGGAACAAAATTCTGGCCACTTTGAAGGTGGAGCCTGGGAATTCCTGGCTATCAGTGAAATTCTCCTGGTCAGAGCCACAGGGGAGAAGAGGCTCATGGGAGGAGAGGCTCATTGGTGGAGAGGACATCTCCAAGCAGCCTAGGAAAAGCCTATCCCAGGTTAAGACTGGCCTATCAAGCTTGGCATTCTGTGCCCTAACATGGTAACAGAAGAAGCCTCTGATGTCACCCTTTAAGACTTAGGCTATTATTCAAATACCCCCTAACTTGCCTCTTCATAAACCATTGCAGATTCATCTTCCATTAATTTACCTATGCCCTTCTTGAAACTGATTTTTATGCATCATCTCATAGGATAACCAATATTTCTCAAAAATTCAATTCAGCATTAATTACATGCCCACAGCAGGGGTTCTCAAAGGTTGTGTTATGGACCATTTGGAGCCTACACTTCCAATTATACGTTCATGCATGTGTCTCCGTGAATCTTCTAGAACATATGGTATGCCCCATAGTGGGTCACTGTTGCTCACAGCAAAGAATGATGCTGCCCTGTGAGCAGAACTGAGACCCTGAACTTGGGTGGACAGAGCCTTCACTCTGTTCAACAAAGTTTCAACGAGGTATAGCCCCTGTCCTCATGGAGCTTCCACTCTAGTAGGGAAATAAGACACAAACACCAAATCTAGTGGTGATAAGGCCATAAGAGGACTCAACATATTGGATGAAGTCATATTTTACTCTCTCCTTTAACTGCCTCCTTCATTCTTTCTTCTGAGACCCTCATTCCCCTATTTCTGAGATCATAGAGAAGAGGGAGGGCCTTTCCCCTGGCTCCTTGACATGTCCATATTTCAGTATGTCATTGTGTGCTTACTCTTCCATAGGATCCCAAGGGTATGTCCTACTCTTAACATCCTCTGTCCAAAACATTATGGTTTTGGAGCTGATCCTGCCTTTTTTTACTTCTCCTTTGTGGAAATTTCCCTACTTTAGAATTGTTAAGAAATCTGGGTTCTAGACCTGGCACTATCATTACTTAGTTGTATAATATTGGCATTTTGGTGCCCCTCCCTGGGCATCAGTTTTCTCATCTGTATGTCCATGCCGGAGAATACCCAGCATTCCCCTCTTTGGTTTGGTCAGATGACCTCTAGACTTGAGAAAAGCAGATTTCCAAATGTTCAGAGAAAGGAGAAGTTATATCTTCCTTTGGCTAGAGACTAGAAAAGATCTCAATAGAATAAAAAGGAATCTGGATGTAAAGAAGTTGGTGTGGCCACAGGGGGAATTCTCACTTTATTTAGAAGGATGTTAGAATGGGAATTTTACCAAGGATCATACAAAAGATTAGCAAGATTCTATAAAAAGAGTGTCAGTGGACTGAGGCCTAGGTGAAATGCCACACAAATATGGCTTTTTTTCTTTTTTTGGCTAGGCAGTGGGGTTAAGTGACTTGCCTAGGGTCACACAGCTAGTGAGTGTTATGTGTCTGAGGCCAGATTTGAACTCAGGTCCTCCTGACTCCAGGGCTGGTGCTCTATCCACTGTGCCACCTAGCTGCCCCTTTTTTCTTTCTTTTTTTTAAAGAAAGAACAGGGAATAGCTATACTTCCTTCTCACGTCAGGTAGTTTCCTGTTAATAATTTTTATATAGCACTTTAAGATTTGCAAAGGACTTTTCATATGTAGTTATCTCATTTGATCCTCCCAGCAACCCTGTAAGGCAAGTGCTATTATATCCCCATTTTACAGACTAGGTAACTGAGGCTGAAAAGCTGTCAGTCAATAAGCATTTATTTGGTAAGTCATTTTGGTCATGTTTAATTCTTTGTGACCCCATTTGGGGTTTTCTTGGAAAGATACCAGAGTACGTCCTTCTCCAGCTCATTTTGCAAATTGGGAAACTGAGGCAAACAGAGTTAAGTGACTTGCTCAAGATCACACAACTAGTAAGAGTCTGAGGCCAGATTTGAACTTAGGTCCTTCTGACTCTAGAGCTGGTGCTTTATCCACTGCACCGCCTCACTACCATAAGCATTTATTAGGTTTCTACTATGTGCCAGGAAGGGGGCTAGGTGGCTCAGTGGAAAGAGCTCTGGGCCTGAAGTCAGGAAGACCTGAGATCAAATCTGACCTCAGACACTTATTAGCTGTGTGACCCTGGGCAAGTCACTTAACCTCTGTTTGCCTTAATCCACCAGAGAAGGAAATGGCACATCACTCCAGTATCTTTGCCAAGAAAACCCCATGGACGGTATGGGCATGGGGTCACAAAGAGTCGGACACAACTAAAAGACTGAGCACCAAATGTGCCATGCGCTGTGCTAAGTGCTAGGGATACAAAAAAAGGCAAAAACCAGTCCCAGCTCCCAAAGATCCCTCAGTCTAATGGGGGAGACAATACGCAAGCAATATACAAGCAAGTTTGTTACAGGATAAATTGGAGATTAGCAACAGAGACAAGAGGTTAGGAAAAGACTTCTTGTAGAAGGTGCGATTTAGCAGGGAGTTGAAGGAAGCCAGGAGGCGGAGGTGAGGAGGGAGAGCACTCCCAGCAGGGGGGACAGCCAGTGCAAATGCCCAGAGCTGGGAGATGGAGGGTCTTGTCTGAGGAATAGCCAGGAGGCCAGTGTGACTGAATCACAGAGTATGTGTCAGGGGTAAGGTCTAAGAAGACTGGAAAGGTAAGAGGAAGCTGATTTATGAAGGGCTTTGAATGCCAAGTGGAGCATTTTGCATGTGTTCCTGGAGGGGATAGGGAGGCACAGGAGTTTACTAAATAGTGGGTCATATAAATTCTTTAGGAAGATAAGTTTGAGAGATGAGTGGAGGATAGACTGGCATGGGGAGAGCCTTGTGGCAGGCAGCCCCACCAGCAGCTACTGCAGTA